ATAGAATCCAATTCTAATGTTATCACTCTTCCTAAACGTAACCGGATTAAAAAGCCGTGGATCACTCCAGGTTTACTACGATGTATGCGTAATAGAGATAAACTTCACAAAAAGCTACAAAATAATCCTACCAAAGAAATTCTAAAATTAACATACGCCCGTTATCGCAACTTCTGCAATAATTTATTAAGAAATATATAGAGAGAATACGAAGAACAAGAGTTAGTTAAGGCCAAAAGTAATCCAAAATTATTATGGAATACCATTAATGATATAACAAATAGACCAAAAGTAGAAGCACCTGCAACTGAACTTATACATAGGCTGCACTAAAAGTATCGGGAATGGAATATTTCCACTGTTCCTGTCATATTAAAATACTTTTTGAAAACTCCTTGGTTTTAAAAATCGTATACCATACCATATTTATTTAAAAAAAGATTCTCGGTCTTATCACAAGGTTTTATCAAACTTGTTTAGTCGTTGAGAAACTGGAATTGACTCGAGAAAATGCAAGAGCGATGATTTATTATGACTTTCGAAGTGGTTTAACACAAAAACAGTGTGTTGACCGGATGATTTCTGCATTTGGTGATGAAGCCCCATCATCATCATCATCATCATCATTACAGCCCTTCACAAGTCCACTGCTGAACATAGGCCTCCCCCAAAGAATGCCACAAAGCACGGTCCTGAGCCACCTGCATCCATCGACTTCCTGCATGTCTTACCAGGTCGTCACTCCATCTCGTGGGGGGACGCCCTACACTTCGCCTACCGGTACGAGGCTGCCACTCGAGAACCTTTCTTCCCCATCGGTTGTCGGTTCTTCGAGCTATATGGCCGGCCCACTGCCACTTCAGCTTACTAATCCGTTGGGCTATGTCGGTCACTCTGGTTCTACTGCGGATATCCTCATTCCTAAGTTTATCACGCAGAGAAACTCCGAGCATAGCCCTCTCCATAGCTCGCTGAGCGACCTTGAGCTTCCTCATACGGCCAGCACTGAAGGACCACGTCTCAGTTCCGTAAGTCATCACTGGCAACACGCACTGGTTGTACAATTTCGTTTTAAGGTTTTGAGGTATGTCTGACGAGAAGATGTGTCGTAGCTTCCCGAACGCTGCCCAGCCGAGTTGAATCCGTCGATTGACCTCTCGGTCGAAGTTGGACTTACCTAGTCGGACTATTTGTCCCAGGTAAACATACTCGTCAACAACTTCGAGCTTAGTGCTCCCAACAACTACCGGCATAGGTGTGATATGGACATTAAACATGATCTTTGTTTTGTCCATGTTCATCTTAAGACCTATCCGTTGGGAAACACTATTGAGGTCATTGAGCATAGTGCTTAGGTCCTCCAGCGATTCTGCCATAAGGACTATATCGTCGGCAAATCGAAGGTGAGTGATGTACTCGCCATTGATGTTGATACCGTATCCTTTCCAGTCCAGAAGCTTGAAAACGTCTTCCAATGCAGCGGTGAAGAGTTTCGGGGATATGACGTCACCCTGTCTTACACCTCTCTGCAATTGGATAGGTTTCGTACTCTGGTTCTGTACTCGGATAGCCATCGTAGCCCTACTGTACAAGCACTTCAACACTTCGATATACCGACAGTCAACTTGGCACCGCTGAAGGGACTGCAGCACCGCCCAAATTTCGACGGAATCAAAGGCTTTCTCATAGTCCACATACGCCAGACATAGTGGCAAATTGTACTCTTCGGACTTCTGTACAACTTGCCGAAGGGTATGTATGTGGTCTATGGTGCTAAAGCCCTTTCGGAAACCGGCTTGTTCGGGAGGCTGGAAGTCGTCAAGTCTGCGCGCGAGACGATTCGTAATGACTCTCGAAAACAGCACGTAGACGCGGCTCAGAAGGGAAATCGGTCTGTAGTTCTTCAAGAGAGCGTTGTCACCTTTCTTGAAGAACAAGACCACCGCACTTCTGCTCCACGCCTCCAGTGTAATGCCACCATGGAGGACAGAATTAAAGAGCTTCTGAAGGACTTCAAGTACCGGTCTTCCACCCGCTTTCAGAAGCTCCGCTGTAATTCCATCCTCGCCTGGGGCCTTACCGTTTTTAAGGTGCTGGAGAGCCATCCTAATCTCGCTCAGACTGACATCCGGGAAGCCCCATCCAAAACCACAATTTATCGCTGGTTTGCTGAATTTCAACGTGGACGTGTCCAGCTCAGTGATGATCCCCGTCAAGGTCGTCCAAAAACTGCAGTTGCCCAAGAAAACGTTGATGCTGTGCGTGAGCTGATTGAGGAAGATCGACATGTGACATACCGCGAAATTCAGGCAGCTTTAGACATTGGCATGAGTCGAATACAAATAATCTTGCATGAACAATTAGGTGTAAAAAAGTTGTTTTCCCGATGGATACCGCATTCGCTCTGTGAAGAGCAAAAAGCGGCTCGCGTTACTTGGTGCGTCAGAACTCTATCGTATCAGGTGACGAATCCTGGATATACGCGTACGAATGCGAAACAAAAAACCAGTTACGAGTTTGGGTGTCCGAAAATGAGTTAAAGCCAACAAAAATTGTTCGTTCACGGAGTGTTGCAAAAAAAATGGTAGCCACGTTTCTCTCCAAAACCGGCCATGTTACGACTATTCCTCTTGAGGGATAAAGAACGGTTAATGCAGAATGGTATGCTAGCATTTGTTTGCCACAGGTCGTTTCTGAACTCCGTAAAGAGAACTGCAACCGCCGCATCATCCTCCATCACGACAATGCGAGTTCGCACACCGCACACAGAACAAAAGAGTTTTTAGAGCAAGAAAACATAGAATTATTAGACCATCCGCCGTACAGCCCCGACCTAAGCCCTAATGATTTCTATACTTTCCCTAAAATAAAGAATAAATTGCGTGGACAGAGATTTTCATCACCTGAAGAAGCTGTAGACGCCTACAAAACGGCCATTTTGGAGACCCCAACTTCCGAATGGAATGGTTGCTTCAATGATTGGTTCCATCGTATGCAAAAATGTGTAAAATTTCGCGGAGAATACTTCGAAAAGCAATAAATACATTTTTAAATAGTAATGATGTGTCACTTCCTTGATTCCCGAAATTTTCAGTGCCGCCCTCGTATCCAACTATACTGTTCCAAATAATAACATTGAACACATAAATTAATATTTTGCAAACGTGGGAAAAAGTCTTGCAGAAAATATACTTAAAGAAACTATACTTGAAGAAAGGTCAAAAGACGAGGATTTGTGGTCTAGCTAAATATTAAATAATCTCCGATCTTTGGTAATAATGCCAGAAATTGCCAGAATGAGATAACAGAAGTCGAAAGGTTAATTATGTCACTAAAAAGCGAAGCTGTTGGGTGGGATAATATCAGTGCTAACATATTAAAATTATATAAACATATAATTGCATCTTCTTTGACACGTCTGTAATTTAGCCATAACAAAAGATATATTTCCTTCTGATTTCAAGAAATCTGTTATCCTTCCTATTTCTAAGAATAGTGTGTGGCGTATGACACGCAAGTCGTGTCTTTTTTAAAATCGTTATAACTCGCTCAAATTGCGTTTTTGGAAAATTTATCCAGAAGAAAATATTCATTATTTTGCAAGTAGTTCATGCCTACAACACTTGTTTTGCTATTCTTACTAATTAGAGGTTTTCAGATCGACTTTACTTTTACATTTGTATAACATTAAATAGTATTTAACATTTGTAAATCAATGAATCATAAACCTTATTTTTTTCCAAATTAAGGTTCTTGATTGTTTGATATTTACAAATGTTAAAAGTTTAATTTAATATAAACCAAGGTTTTTGTAAGAAAGAAAGAAAAATTATTTCAAACACTAACACACATGTTACGAAAGATATTATGCACTAAAAAACTAACTACAGATCAAAACAAAATTAAAACATAAATAAAATCATTACAAACAAAATTTTATTATGTGTGTGGGTTTGGTATAAAAGGGCTACACTCAGCATTATTTCGTGGTATTATCCACGAAGCTGGTTTTCAGTGCGCCCTCTAGTGAGTAACGTACGGTCGAATATGCAACAACCAGTACCACTATTACGACCCTACACTTGTCGCACCTACCACACATAAACACATAGTGAGTAAAAAAGAAAAATGAAAAAGTGAAAAAGTGAGATGCAGATATTGCTGATTTTATAATAACAAACATTGCAAATTATTTATTACCAACAATATAATAATTATAAAATCTACTACTATTACTACTTCTATTACATACTACTAAAATTTACTAGAACCTACATGTGACGTTTTCCATTGTGATTTAGCTGTACCCACTTAAATAAATGTTTTTTTTTTATAAAACACAAAATAGTAAAAAAGGTTCGTAATCTCTGCATAAAAAAGTCACTTACTCTCAATTTCAAGGAAAACACGTAGAAAAACACGTAGTTACCCACTAAAAACAAGTATCCTTCCATTTGTAACTGATGTTTGATGTCAACTAAACTTAATTAGGTCTAAACAAGTGAAAAAAGCTTAAAAAAGAAAATTACTTTTACACATGGCTGATGGCACAATAGGCGTTTGGCGCTCGACACGCCAGGCGTGTCATGAAATATTTGTTGCCGCCACAGCTAAAAGTTGTCGAAAATCGGTGCCGCAATGAATCGGTTAAGTAAAAACTACGCTTATCGACTTTTATGACACCCACGAATAATTTTCTTCTTTCTATTGTACATTACCATCAAGGGAAAAATCATTCTTAGTTTTACTTTTGTACCTAGCTTTAACTTTATTTTAATACATTTTTTACTACTACGGTCTTTCTTTTGCACTGAATAACTTTACTGTAAATAAACATAGAACTAACTACTCCAGTATATGGAATAACAACTGAATCGTATATTCTTAATGGTCCTCCGAGTCGGATATGAACCTATGGATACCACAATCACAAATAATAAGGCATCAAATAGCAGTCACTGATAAGGGTATGAATGAAGTTTCAATTCCAAATATTGCAGGTCAGTCGTCCAGCCATCTACCGACTCACAGATCCCTTCAGGCCGCCTTTTCCACGCAGGAGCAGTTGTTGGAGATGCTATGTATATTTTCGGGGGGACCGTCGACAACAATGTTCGCAGTGGCGACCTCTATCGGTTTCAGGTACAGAACTTACTTCCCAGTGCTTTCTTTGACTGTAATATATTGGAAAGCTTAGTGTCGATTACTTTAAAAGGTTTTTTTAAAAATTATAAGGGTGACAAATGAGTACACATTCCTCCTGATGGTAAGTGGATGCTGTGGACCAAAGAGATGTACATTTATTCTCGACTAGCTGTGCCCGCGGCGTAGCTCGCGTATATAGGTTTTACTTAGAGAATTTGACATTCAGGTAAGAGAATATTAAACGATTTATGTCAGGTAAGAGAATATTAAACGATTTATATCAGGTAAGAGAATATTAAACGATTTGTATCAATAAGTGATAACGTCAGTGTAACAGACGTCTCTGGTGCGTATATACCAAGGGTGGCCAACCGGTCGATCGCGATCGACCGGTCGATCGCCACTGTTAGTCCAGTCGATCGTGGCAAGGCAAAAAATATAAATACGTAGACCAGACTGCCCAACGTAATCACCTACTGCTGGACGCATCATCTTGTATCATTTTTTAATCGCTGTTCCATCACGGTATTTATCCTCTATTTTACGCAGTATAGTCTTTTGTTTTCGGCGTACGATGACCATTAAGCGGGAAGCGTGTGGGATGCGGGGGTGGGACGGGAGAGTCTCAGTCAATCAGTTGACAGTTGACGACAGAGACTACCGGGGTTACGTCGTTTCAACGATTGTCGATGTAAATCACGATTAGACTTTGTATTAGGCACGCATCATAATTTGTTTACGTACATTATGGATAAGTGGTTGAAAAGAAGCGCTGAAGGAACATCAAATGAAGAAAGAAATGCTTCTGAAGGTTCATCAAATAAAGTAAGTTAATATTTTTAAAATTGTTATTACTGCAAACAGACCTCTCAATAATTTTCCTATACTACAAGAATCACGAATTTACAACTGCCTCTTTAAATCAGTGCCTTATTATTTTAGATAGGTACTCGGTGGATCAAACGAACTATCCACCTGGTAAGTAGGTAAAAAACTAGAAAATATTGTTCACTCGTTAACTTTGTGCCATCGTTACGAAATTTATTCTCATTAAATTGTATTTCTACATTTGTTATTATACAAATTATGTTCCTAATATTTTAATTTCATTTTTTACAGATTCTTGATAAATGTGCTCCAAAGAAATCAAAAACTTATAATTTTCACCAAGAATGGGAATTGGACTACTTCTTTACTATGGTGAAAGAAAACTGTTGCTGCCTAATATGCAATACATCCCTGGCAATGCCCAAAAAACGAAATTTAGAGCGACATTTTAACACAATGCATAGTAAATATCAGACTGACTTTCCACCTAACAGCGAAATAAGAAAGAGTAAATTGCAAGCACTGAAATCGCAATTAAAAGTCCAAGAAAACATGTTTTCTGGGCCTATTGAGCAAAGTAAAGCTGCAACTGAAGCTTCTTTCCAAGTAAGCTACAGAATTGCACAAAAGTGCAGACCTTTTTCCGATGGAGAATACATCAAAGAAATCTTCGAAGAAGTGTCAGATTCGCTGTTCGTGAATTTCCAAAATAAAAACGAAATTAAAAAAGCTGTTCATGGATTACAGCTGTCGCGAAATACTGTAATGCGCCGTATAGAAATAATAAATAAAAACTTAAACGAACAACTACAAAAAGATATCGCCCTCTGCGTTGCTTTTTCGCTTCAGTTTGACGAGTCAACAGATGTCACTGATACTGCACAATTACTTTTTGTTTATTCGGATGGTTTTCGAAGATTTCTCGACCAAAGAAGAACTGCTAGGTATAATTTCCTTAAAAGGAAAAACTCGTGGCTTTGATATATTCACGGAATTCAAAGCATATATTTGCCAGATTAAGCTATGCATATATAAACTCGTATCAATGACAACTGATGGAGCTCCTGCAATGACAGGTATTCATAATGGTTTTATTGCTCTTTGTCACAAAGACGAAGATTTTCCAGACTTCATTAGCTACCACTGCATAATTCATCAACAAGTACTGGCTAGTAAGAGATTAAACACGAAACATGTGATGGATATTTCTTTTAAGATTGTAAATTCCATAAAGGGAAAATCCCTCCAAAGGCGGCTCTTTAAACAGCAATTAGATGAGAAGGAACCAGAATTGGCAATGCACACTGATGTGAGGTGGTTGAGTCGAGGCAAGTTTTTGCAAAGATTTCGAGATCTATTGGAAGAAATAATAAAATTTCTTGATGAAAGGGGTGATGATTATCAGCAATTGCGTGATTTAGACTGGCAATGTGATTTAGCTTTTTTGGCAGATTTTACTGGAAAACTGAGTACATTAAATCTGAATCTACAAGGCAAGAATAAAACATTAACAGAAATGAGTAGTTCCATTGCAGCGTTTCAATGTCAAACAGCGTCTATGATATTTGACATAGAGAAGAAAAAAATTGAACAATTTGTTAACATCAAGGATCATATGGAAAAACATCCTAACTACAATTTCATTTCCAAGAAATATACGACAGAAATTAGGGCAGTGGTAGCAGACTTCGAAATTCGTTTTGGTGATTTCAGAAAAATTGAGAACTTGGTTCAATTCATCAGTTATCCGTTCAATGATTCCATTGATCATAGTGATATCTATGAATTGGCTACAAAATTTGCAGATACATTTCAAATGGAGCACATGATGTTACAAAACGAAATTATTACTCTGCGCTGCGACATATTTCTTAAAGCAAGGTCATCCTCAGGTCAAGATTTCTGGGCATTGGTTTCCAAAGAAAAATATCCAAATTTGAAGAATTGTGTTGAACAACTTCATTCGTGTTTTGGTTCAACATATTTATGTTAATCAGCATTTTCCGACTTAAAGCAAACAAAAAGTAAACACCGTTCTCGCTTGACAGACGCTCATACATTGGATTCTTTAAGGTTGGCAATGTTCAACTACAAACCTGATTATGCTAAACTAGTGGAAGATACTCAGACGCAATACTCACACTAATATATATGTAAATAAGTAGTTACTAAGTATAATTTTCACATTTATGTTTTTTCTCTTAATAATAAAAATGCTACATGATTGTGTACTGAACTATGCTGTTTCATTTAAGATTTCTAGAAGTGGTAGATCGCACAGGGTCTCGTTAGTGAACAAGAGATCTTGGGTCCAATCAAGTTGGCAGCTCCTGGTATATACACTAAGCGCTCCGTCTCTATTTTCGCATACATGTCCACTATAAATTGGTTAAACAACCCCAGAAATCTTTGCAGATACGCAAGACGATTGTGCCTTGTAACAGGTGCGAATAAAATTGCAGAGCAGATATTTTTTTATTAAAATTGGTCTCTCTGGTATTAGGATTAATTTGATATGTTCCGAAATTGTACCCATTTTCACTGTGACAATATATTAATGGATATTGTAGAGCATCATAATATCGATGCGTTTCATAAATCCCTGGCAATCGATCGTCATGTGTGTGCAACACGATGTCACGTCTATCGCACTCCTGATCAACTAATACCACTGCCACTTCATCAGTGACAGAAACGTTGCTACCGCGGTGTTTAGTAACAGGACGTCTGTCAGCGTTAATAACTATTTTATAATTGTTTATTAAGTCTTGACAGATTGATTGCAATGCAACCCTAAAACTATGAACGTATGGATTTATTTCATGTAGCATCCTTTGAAGTTGGGATATGAGTTCGCTATTGAGTTGTGGGAAGTTGTGATTTCGGATATTAGTCTGTTCATTATAATCTGATACAAAATAAATTGACTATTTTACTTAATGTCTATAGAGTTTTAGTAGTATTCTAAATTCTAACAGTAATGAGAAAACCAAAGAGTATAATATAATCACTACGCTCAAACAATAACAATTGAAATGACACTCCTTTCTTTATAACTCATAATAAACTCATAATATATATCATTTAATTAAATTAATTAAGTTGAATTGAAAATATACAATATCTACATCGGTTCTGGGTAATGTATGGTTATTTCTGAGACTATAACTGCACTGCAGTTAGTCTCAATACGATTCGGAGTATCTTAACGCCGCAATTCAGAAAAGAATGTAATTTGTACAACGCCATCTATTACGTTCTTTGTGAGAAAACTTTTTTAATTTAAGGAAAACATATTTTTTATTGTTTACTGTGTTTTAAGTATAAATATATTATTATAGAACGTTTTTTACACACAAATATTTTTATTAGTTTTTCTGAGATTTTATGGCGCCATTGAACAAATTCGAACCTACATTTCAAACTAATAATCATAACTTTCGATAGAATTAACCAAATTTAATAAAACAAAAATTAAATGTAACGCTTTATGATTTTCTTTCGATTTCTTTAAAAAAAAAAAAATTTTACTTTAGATGTGATGCGTTTATAAAGAAACAGACAGACAATTCTAAAAATTATAAAAATGTGCTTATTTAATTATCTTCATTTCCCTATAATAATTTTAGTGACAAATATTCTATACAATGTACAAAAAACAGACACAACATGTTATCACCATTTTTATTATATGTATATATTTAGAGAGAGATGGCGCTGCTAACAGCAATCAATTCTAAAAATAAAAGAGATTAATTGACGCGATTGGTGCATTATTATATATATAAAACATAAAAGAATTTATAAACCAGTGTCTGCATAGTAAGCAAAAAAGAAAGTTTGATTCTCGCCGAAACCAACGCAATTGTTAATAGCTCTTAAAATTTGATTTACCACATAGAGTAAGTACTCGGCGGTAAAGAATAAATGAATTTGTCAAACACGTAGTAGGACAGCGAGTAATATAAAGATTAGCAGTAAATATGAAAACTCATCTACAGGAAAAACCACAACCCGCCTTTTTGTATGTATTACATTTGCACCATACAGGCATCTATCGATGAAATTGGTTAACTATTTCACTTTAGATTTAGTTAATAAGGTTATAATATATTTTTGAATATTTTATTTTATACGTTCTTTGATACTTTTGTTTACTGCGTTTTAGATATAATTATATCATTATAGAACATTATTTTACCTAATTTAATTATGATTTATGATATGGTATTAGTTTAAAATGCACTTGATGACTCAACCATCGTCACCGTTGAACAAATTCGTACCTATACTTCGTATTCATACTTCAGAATATTTATCATAACTTTTGATTGAATGAACTGATTTTAATAAAATAAAGATTAAATGTAACACGAAAGTGTATCACTTTATATTTTCCTTAATGATTCTTATGATATAAATTAGTACTTTATACGTGATACGTTAGCAAACTAACAGACAGACAGATAGACAGACAGAAAATTCTAAAAATGGTAGAAATGTATTTAGCTACTTATTTTTAGTATTTCTTAATCACTTTTATTACAAAAATATAAAATGTACAGACGTCTGCTTTTTACATTTTTATTATATGTATAGATCAAGAACTAAAATGTCTTATATCCAGTAAAAAGGGTCACCGATTCTCACACTCCCCAAACGAAACATAGCAGCATTAAGCTGCTATTTACGCTGGTATTCTGTATATTGTGGTATTCGATAGTCGATCTGGTAGTCGAGCCGACCCATTCGTATTACAAACTATATAGCCGAAGCATGGCTCTACCACGTACAAGCTTGGCTCTACCATGTATAAGCATGGCTTTATCATGTACAAGCGCGGTAGCAGGAAATTGTTATAAACCTATTCTTCCAATTTAGATAGGTATATGTTATATTTTAAAGAGAAAGAAAATTGGGAGCGAAATCGAAATGTAATATGTGATCGTCAGCTGTCGAACTACCCGCGCTGCACGCTGCACGAGGACCTGGGTCGCGTGCTGCGCTCGGAGCAGTTCTGCGACGTGACGCTGCTGGTGGGCGGCGAGCCCACGCCCGTGCTCGCGCACCAGGCGCTGCTCGCCGCGCGCTCCGCATACCTGCGCGCCAAGATCAAGTACGTCGCACACTCACCTGCCCCTGGGAACCTTGCAGTTAGAGCGCTCGCAGCAGTTCTGCGACGTGACGCTGCTGGTGGGCGGCGAGCCCACGCCCGTGCTCGCGCACCAGGCGCTGCTCGCCGCGCGCTCCGCATACCTGCGCGCCAAGATCAAGTACGTCGCACACTCACCTGCCCCTGGGAACCTTGCAGTTAGAGCGCTCGCAGCAGTTCTGCGACGTGACGCTGCTGGTGGGCGGCGAGCCCACGCCCGTGCTCGCGCACCAGGCGCTGCTCGCCGCGCGCTCCGCATACCTGCGCGCCAAGATCAAGTACGTCGCACACTCACCTGCCCCTGGGAACCTTGCAGTTAGAGCGCTCGCAGCAGTTCTGCGACGTGACGCTGCTGGTGGGCGGCGAGCCCACGCCCGTGCTCGCGCACCAGGCGCTGCTCGCCGCGCGCTCCGCATACCTGCGCGCCAAGATCAAGTACGTCGCACACTCACCTGCCCCTGGGAACCTTGCAGTTAGAGCGCTCGCAGCAGTTCTGCGACGTGACGCTGCTGGTGGGCGGCGAGCCCACGCCCGTGCTCGCGCACCAGGCGCTGCTCGCCGCGCGCTCCGCATACCTGCGCGCCAAGATCAAGTACGTCGCACACTCACCTGCCCCTGGGAACCTTGCAGTTAGAGCGCTCGCAGCAGTTCTGCGACGTGACGCTGCTGGTGGGCGGCGAGCCCACGCCCGTGCTCGCGCACCAGGCGCTGCTCGCCGCGCGCTCCGCATACCTGCGCGCCAAGATCAAGTACGTCGCACACTCACCTGCCCCTGGGAACCTTGCAGTTAGAGCGCTCGCAGCAGTTCTGCGACGTGACGCTGCTGGTGGGCGGCGAGCCCACGCCCGTGCTCGCGCACCAGGCGCTGCTCGCCGCGCGCTCCGCATACCTGCGCGCCAAGATCAAGTACGTCGCACACTCACCTGCCCCTGGGAACCTTGCAGTTAGAGCGCTCGCAGCAGTTCTGCGACGTGACGCTGCTGGTGGGCGGCGAGCCCACGCCCGTGCTCGCGCACCAGGCGCTGCTCGCCGCGCGCTCCGCATACCTGCGCGCCAAGATCAAGTACGTCGCACACTCACCTGCCCCTGGGAACCTTGCAGTTAGAGCGCTCGCAGCAGTTCTGCGACGTGACGCTGCTGGTGGGCGGCGAGCCCACGCCCGTGCAAGCGCACCAGGCGCTGCTCGCCGCGCGCTCCGCATACCTGCGCGCCAAGATCAAGTACGTCGCACACTCACCTGCCCCTGGGAACCTTGCAGTTAGAGCGCTCGCAGCAGTTCTGCGACGTGACGCTGCTGGTGGGCGGCGAGCCCACGCCCGTGCTCGCGCACCAGGCGCTGCTCGCCGCGCGCTCCGCATACCTGCGCGCCAAGATCAAGTACGTCGCACACTCACCTGCCCCTGGGAACCTTGCAGTTAGAGCGCTCGCAGCAGTTCTGCGACGTGACGCTGCTGGTGGGCGGCGAGCCCACGCCCGTGCTCGCGCACCAGGCGCTGCTCGCCGCGCGCTCCGCATACCTGCGCGCCAAGATCAAGTACGTCGCACACTCACCTGCCCCTGGGAACCTTGCAGTTAGAGCGCTCGCAGCAGTTCTGCGACGTGACGCTGCTGGTGGGCGGCGAGCCCACGCCCGTGCTCGCGCACCAGGCGCTGCTCGCCGCGCGCTCCGCATACCTGCGCGCCAAGATCAAGTACGTCGCACACTCACCTGCCCCTGGGAACCTTGCAGTTAGAGCGCTCGCAGCAGTTCTGCGACGTGACGCTGCTGGTGGGCGGCGAGCCCACGCCCGTGCTCGCGCACCAGGCGCTGCTCGCCGCGCGCTCCGCATACCTGCGCGCCAAGATCAAGTACGTCGCACACTCACCTGCCCCTGGGAACCTTGCAGTTAGAGCGCTCGCAGCAGTTCTGCGACGTGACGCTGCTGGTGGGCGGCGAGCCCACGCCCGTGCTCGCGCACCAGGCGCTGCTCGCCGCGCGCTCCGCATACCTGCGCGCCAAGATCAAGTACGTCGCACACTCACCTGCCCCTGGGAACCTTGCAGTTAGAGCGCTCGCAGCAGTTCTGCGACGTGACGCTGCTGGTGGGCGGCGAGCCCACGCCCGTGCTCGCGCACCAGGCGCTGCTCGCCGCGCGCTCCGCATACCTGCGCGCCAAGATCAAGTACGTCGCACACTCACCTGCCCCTGGGAACCTTGCAGTTAGAGCGCTCGCAGCAGTTCTGCGACGTGACGCTGCTGGTGGGCGGCGAGCCCACGCCCGTGCTCGCGCACCAGGCGCTGCTCGCCGCGCGCTCCGCATACCTGCGCGCCAAGATCAAGTACGTCGCACACTCACCTGCCCCTGGGAACCTTGCAGTTAGAGCGCTCGCAGCAGTTCTGCGACGTGACGCTGCTGGTGGGCGGCGAGCCCACGCCCGTGCTCGCGCACCAGGCGCTGCTCGCCGCGCGCTCCGCATACCTGCGCGCCAAGATCAAGTACGTCGCACACTCACCTGCCCCTGGGAACCTTGCAGTTAGAGCGCTCGCAGCAGTTCTGCGACGTGACGCTGCTGGTGGGCGGCGAGCCCACGCCCGTGCTCGCGCACCAGGCGCTGCTCGCCGCGCGCTCCGCATACCTGCGCGCCAAGATCAAGTACGTCGCACACTCACCTGCCCCTGGGAACCTTGCAGTTAGAGCGCTCGCAGCAGTTCTGCGACGTGACGCTGCTGGTGGGCGGCGAGCCCACGCCCGTGCTCGCGCACCAGGCGCTGCTCGCCGCGCGCTCCGCATACCTGCGCGCCAAGATCAAGTACGTCGCACACACCTGCCCCTGGGAACCTTGCAGTTAGAGCGCTCGCAGCAGTTCTGCGACGTGACGCTGCTGGTGGGCGGCGAGCCCACGCCCGTGCTCGCGCACCAGGCGCTGCTCGCCGCGCGCTCCGCATACCTGCGCGCCAAGATCAAGTACGTCGCACACTCACCTGCCCCTGGGAACCTTGCAGTTAGAGCGCTCGCAGCAGTTCTGCGACGTGACGCTGCTGGTGGGCGGCGAGCCCACGCCCGTGCTCGCGCACCAGGCGCTGCTCGCCGCGCGCTCCGCATACCTGCGCGCCAAGATCAAGTACGTCGCACACTCACCTGCCCCTGGGAACCTTGCAGTTAGAGCGCTCGCAGCAGTTCTGCGACGTGACGCTGCTGGTGGGCGGCGAGCCCACGCCCGTGCAAGCGCACCAGGCGCTGCTCGCCGCGCGCTCCGCATACCTGCGCGCCAAGATCAAGTACGTCGCACACTCACCTGCCCCTGGGAACCTTGCAGTTAGAGCGCTCGCAGCAGTTCTGCGACGTGACGCTGCTGGTGGGCGGCGAGCCCACGCCCGTGCTCGCGCACCAGGCGCTGCTCGCCGCGCGCTCCGCATACCTGCGCGCCAAGATCAAGTACGTCGCACACTCACCTGCCCCTGGGAACCTTGCAGTTAGAGCGCTCGCAGCAGTTCTGCGACGTGACGCTGCTGGTGGGCGGCGAGCCCACGCCCGTGCTCGCGCACCAGGCGCTGCTCGCCGCGCGCTCCGCATACCTGCGCGCCAAGATCAAGTACGTCGCACACTCACCTGCCCCTGGGAACCTTGCAGTTAGAGCGCTCGCAGCAGTTCTGCGACGTGACGCTGCTGGTGGGCGGCGAGCCCACGCCCGTGCTCGCGCACCAGGCGCTGCTCGCCGCGCGCTCCGCATACCTGCGCGCCAAGATCAAGTACGTCGCACACTCACCTGCCCCTGGGAACCTTGCAGTTAGAGCGCTCGCAGCAGTTCTGCGACGTGACGCTGCTGGTGGGCGGCGAGCCCACGCCCGTGCTCGCGCACCAGGCGCTGCTCGCCGCGCGCTCCGCATACCTGCGCGCCAAGATCAAGTACGTCGCACACTCACCTGCCCCTGGGAACCTTGCAGTTAGAGCGCTCGCAGCAGTTCTGCGACGTGACGCTGCTGGTGGGCGGCGAGCCCACGCCCGTGCTCGCGCACCAGGCGCTGCTCGCCGCGCGCTCCGCATACCTGCGCGCCAAGATCAAGTACGTCGCACACTCACCTGCCCCTGGGAACCTTGCAGTTAGAGCGCTCGCAGCAGTTCTGCGACGTGACGCTGCTGGTGGGCGGCGAGCCCACGCCCGTGCTCGCGCACCAGGCGCTGCTCGCCGCGCGCTCCGCATACCTGCGCGCCAAGATCAAGTACGTCGCACACTCACCTGCCCCTGGGAACCTTGCAGTTAGAGCGCTCGCAGCAGTTCTGCGACGTGACGCTGCTGGTGGGCGGCGAGCCCACGCCCGTGCTCGCGCCCCAGGCGCTGCTCGCCGCGCGCTCCGCATACCTGCGCTCCAAGATCAAGTACGTCGCACACTCACCTGCCCCTGGGAACCTTGCAGTTAGAGCGCTCGCAGCAGTTCTGCGACGTGACGCTGCTGGTGGGCGGCGAGCCCACGCCCGTGCTCGCGCACCAGGCGCTGCTCGCCGCGCGCTCCGCATACCTGCGCGCCAAGATCAAGTACGTCGCACACTCACCTGCCCCTGGGAACCTTGCAGTTAGAGCGCTCGCAGCAGTTCTGCGACGTGACGCTGCTGGTGGGCGGCGAGCCCACGCCCGTGCTCGCGCCCCAGGCGCTGCTCGCCGCGCGCTCCGCATACCTGCGCGCCAAGATCAAGTACGTCGCACACTCACCTGCCCCTGGGAACCTTGCAGTTAGAGCGCTCGCAGCAGTTCTGCGACGTGACGCTGCTGGTGGGCGGCGAGCCCACGCCCGTGCTCGCGCACCAGGCGCTGCTCGCCGCGCGCTCCGCATACCTGCGCGCCAAGATCAAGTACGTCGCACACTCACCTGCCCCTGGGAACCTTGCAGTTAGAGCGCTCGCAGCAGTTCTGCGACGTGACGCTGCTGGTGGGCGGCGAGCCCACGCCCGTGCTCGCGCACCAGGCGCTGCTCGCCGCGCGCTCCG